GCTTTCTCTAGCCCAAATGCTATGCCACATCACTGCTGTCCCAGTCACTCACATTGTTGTCCGCATCCCAGTCTTCTTCCTCTGATGCTAAGCGCATAAGTAGCTCTACTGCAATGTGTGATCGTCCTCTTAGTACATTGAATGCAGCATGGGAGAGAAGTCTGGGATACATGATTTCTCACAGCAGGTGCTGGAGAGCTCAGCAAGAACTGTCATTCACATGGCCAAAAGGAGGCCAAAAGCCCTAGGAGGGCTCCACTCTCTGTCCCTTCCCATTTTATGGAAAATAGTCCCATTTCCAGTACTTCCCATTTTCTGGGCACAATCAAACCATGACCTTGGTTTAAGTTAGGGTAAGAGGAAGCTGCATACCAAATTTGTTGATCCTAGCTCTTATGATTTAGGAAGAATTCTAGAACAGACTCATAGATGCAGAGACAGATGGATTCACAGACAGACACATTCTAAAATATATAGAGAAATTATATATATAATCCCCCTTGTTGCACATTATCACTCTTGTTGCATATTACCGCTTGATTTAAATAAAAGTCTAGAGCAGTGTGCAATAAAACATTCCAGGACTTTTTTCTCTGCCCTTGATCTTCAGTGCTAACTGCTGGCATTCAAAACTTCTCAGCATATCAATGTGATAAATAATAAGTGCAATCCTTTTTACTGCTACACTATACGTATTAACTGCATATTTTCTGTGCAACAGTGCTATATAAATACCATATGATTTTTGGGCAAATTTATCTTTTAAAAATAGCTTGTCAGCTTACTTTAAAACAGCTTTAATTCAATTAGGAAATTGCAATAAAGTGCCATATTAATCACTCAATAGTATTTATTACAAGGAAGAAACCAGTTGAAACTGTCTCCCAAACTTAAATTTTTGAAACAGATTATTATTAGGCTCTCTCTTGAGCTGATTTAATCCACATATCTTTGGTTTTTTTTGTAACTTGCCATGGAGAAGTGGAGCACAAGGTTGAATTATGTAATGTAGCATTTTCCTCTAGAATTTGGCATCCGTCTTGGAAAACGTATCATGTGCTCAGGAAAAAAGCATGGTGTATATCCATATTTAGAAAAAAATCTTGGAAAAATAATTAACACACTGTGAGTTAAAACATCCCACAGGCAACTTTAACTCGCTTAGCCAGCACTTATGTGGCCAATCATCCTACATCTTAGTGACACTGGCAGTATTACAGAGGTCAGTTTCAGATGGCTGAACTATTTTTGAAAAGTTTCTGCAGTGTCTCAGATATAAACTACTTAGCTCTTCTTTTCTAACTTACTTTCCCTTTCAAAAAACTTGGCTCTTGTGAACAATACAGCAAAACCCTTTCTCTCCATTATATGGGTTTCCCTCCCTTGAGTGCATCTCAGGGCAGCAATGAATATCTGGATATTGTTTCACAATTTTCTTTTGTGAGGGACTTCCCTTTCAAGACTGTTGCTATCATAAAGCAACTACATACTGTACCTATTTCTCTGGCAGCTGTGTCTTAAGGTATGATAGTTAATTCTTGGTCAACCCACATAGTTTGCAGTCAGAATGCAAACTAATCACACTTGACGATGTAAGTCCTCCAGCCCCATACGATTATTCCATGTGGGCTGTACTTTCTTATGTGACTCCTCCCTTCTTCTCCATTGCATTTTAACTAAGTTTTCCTGCTCCATTTTTGCTGCACTTTCACAGCCCTGAACAGAGATGCCATCCAACATATTTTCCTCCCATTTTGCCAGTACAGCTGTAGTGTGATATTAGTAAGACCAATAACTTGAGGAAATGTTTAGTGGGCATGAAACAAAAAGAAACAGAGAAGGCAATCAGGTTTACTACAAATCACTCGGGTTATGTCTACACTGACAACTTCTTGCGCAAGAACTCTTTTGCAGAAGAGTTCTTGTGCAAAAACTCTTCCACGAGAGAGCGTTTACACTGCCATGTGCTTTTGCGCAAGAGCATCCATGGCAGTGTACACGCTTTCTTCAGCCCTTGATCTTCAGAAAGCTCTGATGGCCATTATAACAATAGGGGCTTCTTGTGCAAGAAATTCATGTTACCTGTCTACACTGCCCTCTTCTGGAAGAGCTCTTGCGCAAGAGGGCTGATTCCTCGTGGGGAGAGGAATAACTTTCTGGAAGAAACCCTGTTTTTCAACGCTATACTGTAAATTTACTTCTGGAAGAATGCTCGTGCAGTGTAGACAGCCAGCAAGCTGCCAATGTAGACATAGCCTTGGTGGTTTGCAGCCTGAATTCATTAATGACATTCTAATAAAAATTTATTGATGCCAAATACTGTTTGCTTTCACCGTCAGAGCTGTCTGAATTTACATAAAGTACTGTTCCAATGTCACTGCCACAGACAGCTTCTCCATGTCAGGTGAAAGGGAGAGAGAGAGAGAATATTGCAAATGAATTCATACAGCTGCACAGTTTAGCACATTGCTCAGAATCATGGGATCGCTTACCCCATCCTGGCACACCATCTAGTACAGCAGATCAATCCCAGCACACCATCTAGTACAGCACCACTGTGGACATAGTTGCATGAGTAGTGCTTTGCTGTGGGGAAGCACCCCTGTGCTAAACTAGCCCAGGCCTGGGCTTACTCTGCAGTGAAGACCTTCTCCTAAACATTGAGAGAAGATATATGAACTCTGTTTTTTTGTGGTACACCTGAACTCCAAACCACAAGGCACTAACCAGTCTAAAGTTCAAATTTCTCTTATGTGTTGGGAAAGCAGCAGTTCAGATACATCTGATGGTTTCAGCCTTTATTGACTTTCTTAAAATGTGGACCAGAATTCTTTTTTTCCCCTCCAAATGTTATAGTTTTTTTAAAAATGATTGTTTGCTAGTTTTTCTAATATGTCATACATGTTTGTGAATTATACAAGATAATTCCCATACCCATAATTGAATTCTACATTCAGACCTACCACAAAGCTAAATCAATTTCACAGGCTGACTTATGACTATCTGAATGTGATTTGGCTGTACTGTGAATATCCTCTTGGAATTTTTTATAAAAGAATATGGTACAGCCAAATCACATTCATATGCACGAGAATGAAATATCTAAAGAATAGGGAAGTCTTAATGTATCTGCCATTCATTATTTTGTTAGATATTTTGTCTTTTCTCCTGTGTCTATATTTTTACTGTTAAAGCAATACACTGTAAAACTCCATGTGGCTTTCTTCAGTGGAACGCTATGGCTTTTAGAAATTACATAGGTGATTGGTTCCTCTTTATCACTGAAAAGCAGTCATTTCTGGGAGAAATTTAAAAGCTATACTTTTGTCAACAACTTCGCATTGCTAGTATAATATAATCAGTTAAATTATAATATGAACATATGTCATAAGAGTTGTGGTTGTGTTTTTAGAGCATGTTAACTAACAGCAACACAATGCTAGCCTCTTCTACTTGGTATTTGCTCAATAATATCTTACCCAATGAAAGGCTGCCTCTGAGATGGGAAGAACATGTGTTTCCTGTAATTTTCAAAAGATGCTTTGATGTTTGCTGAAAAAGCTTTTAATAGTGATGAGCTGACCTCTTTTTGAAATAGTGTGTGTTGGTTTGGTTTGGCTTTAAATGCTCACATCGCTGCTCCATGCGAACCAGACTAGCTCCATCTACCTCAGCATAATGCACGCCTGATAAATCAGAAAAGATACAGACACCAAAGTACTTATTTTAAGGTGTAAATTGTGTAGATCTATAATTTTTACTGGACAAATAGATTCTTTCTTAAATAATGTTTGTGTGAGTTTCCCACCAGCTGATCCCCCGATCTCCCCCGGCCAGTCCCACTCCCCCAAACCTCCTCCCAGCCAGCCCTGCTTCCCACCAGCCAGTTGCTCCCCCCCTCCCCTGGTCAGCCCCGCTCCCCCCGATCCCCTCTCGTTCTGAGATCACGTGGGTATTTTTTTGAAATCCATCTGGTAACCCTAGAAACGATGAACTGAGGGCAATAGCTGAATGGGACCTGCGTGCAAACTTCCAGAGAAGTGAAAGCAGCAAGTGTAAAATAAAGGTGAAAAAGGCTCTGGGTAGAAAAGACATGTAGGCGTCCCCAAACCATTCTATTCCCCCATCGAGTCTTAAGGAGGGAGAGGAATGCAAAACTCTGATGAAGTTCCTTCTGAGGGCTTGTCTCATTGATGCTGCAGCAATCAGTCCACCAGATGTCAATTTGTCACATCCATTTAGACACAACAAATTGGTCTCCAAGCCCTCTCCCATTGATGTGGATACTCCACCAGGACAAAAAGAATTTTAACAGGAGAGAAGCCCCTTCTGACCTTACTGCACACAAGACGCTGCAGTACAAATGTTAACTTCAGCTACACTATTTGCATAGCTGAAGTGACATAGTTTAGATCAACAGTAGGGGTTAACGGAAAGGCCTCACAGTTCTCTGTTGCCAGTTAAAAGCCTCCACCCCCCAAGAGCGAGTTCATGGAAGGAGCATGCTTTCCCCTCATCCTGGCTGCTGCTTTTTTTTTTTTAAGTTGTTTTAATTCACAGCTAATCCCTACATTCCACTCTTCCTCATTAGCTGCTGCAGGGAAAGGCAGAGAGTAGACTTTGCATACTGCAAGGATTAGTCTGGAGGGTGAAATTCACCACTGGGCCAAACTTCTGCCCAAGGCATAAGCACTATTCAAGTACCACTGAAGCTTTCAAAATAGGTCATAAGGGAACTTGAATGGTGTTTAGGACTAATGCTGGACTTCTGTAATTGGATGAATTTTTCCCTTTAATATAATGCCTAAGAGGTGTGGGGCAGCCCCAGATAAGCAGGGGCAGGCAGCATTGGGGAGAAAGGGGGGGAAACAACAAAAATAGCAGAGGTGCTTAATGAATACTTCGTCTCGGTTTTTACAAAGAAGATTGGATGCCTAACATAGTGAATGCCAGGGAAAATGAGGATAAAATAGGGACAGAACAAGTTAAAAATTACTTAGACAAATTAGGTGTCTTCAAGTCACCAAAACCCAATGATATACTACATCCTAGAATACTCAAAGCTGTCTCTGGAGCCATTAGTGATTATCTTGGAAAAGTCCTGGAATACAACACGAATTTCAAAAGACTGGAAAAAGGCAAATACAGTGCCCTTCAAAAATAAATAAATAAAAAATAAGGACAACCCAGGGAATTACAGACCAGTCAGTTTAACTTCTGTACCCAGAAAGATAATGAAGCAAATAATTTTGCAATCCGTTTGCAAACATTTGGAAGATAATAATGTGATAAGTAACAGCATTGGTTTGGTCAAGAACAAATTGTGTCAAACAACCTAAGAGTAGTAGGTGTGGTATATCTTAACTTTAGTAACGCTTTTTATACTGTCTTCCATGACTTTTCCATAAGAAAACTGGGGAAATGCATCCTAGGTGAAGCTACTGTCAGATGGGTAAAAACTGAAAAAACCATTCCCCAGGGGGTAGTTATCAATACTTCATAGTCATGCTGGAAGGGCATAATGAGGGGTCCCTCAAATATCAGGTCTGGGTCTAGTTCTGTTCAAATATCTTCATAAACAATTTAGCTAATGACACAGAGCGTACATTTTTAAAGTTTGTGGATGATACCAAACTGGAAGGGGTTGCAAGCACTTTGGAGGATAGGATTAAAATTCAAAATGATCTGAACAAATTTGAGAAATGGCTTTAAGTAAACAGGATGAAATTTATTAAGGACAAACGCACAGAACACCATTTAGAAAGGAACAATCAGTTGCTCACAAAGAAAATGGGAAATGACTATTATCTCAAGGTGGGACTCCTGCTGGTAGCACTGGGAATTAGCTCACCTCTGGCTGGTGTCTTCCCATGTCCTCACTCCACATTCCAGTTCTGGATTCTGTAGCCAGACAGGAACATCCCTGTAACATCCATCTTTGCTTGCCTGGAGCATGCAGGGCACACAGAGCAGTAAAAGCCTTGAATAGAAGGCCCGGATATGCAGGCTGCTGCTTTGACCATGAATGGCTGTAAACAGAGATATGCCAATTGCTGACCAAGAGTGCCCTTGACTGAAACCCATATTGATACGAACACACAGCCGTCCGCAGGGGGAGGAATCTCTCGCCCAGTAAAAAAAGTGTCTAGTACTCACAATTCAGTTATCTCTCTTGCAAGTGTAAATTACTTGAAACTTGCTTGTAAGAACTGGCGTCACAAAAACGGACCAGTACAATTTGGCATCTTAAATAAGAAAGAGCATACGGGCCCCTATGGGTATAAAGGTGGGTCCAGCAGCACATTTACTGAGTGTCAATCTACCATCTATCTGTTGGTCGGGTTAGGTGTTTGACCTCCCGAGGTTCCATGGGGACGCCCACCTCGTATTCATCTTTCCTAGGAATTGAGGGACCGGCCCTGGCTTGACCCGCTGGAGTCGAGAGGCACAGAAAGGGGTAAAAATTGTACCTGGATGTGGTCCTTTGTCTTAAGTGTACACATAGACTTAGAGCTCTTTAAAGATTAAGCTGTTACTTGGTACCATTATTTTTATTTTCTGTCTTTATTTTTTTTGTAACCATTTTTAAGATCTGTATTTGCTAGCAGTTAAGAAATAGAGCAATAGCCATTGTAACCATATGATTTATAAGCGTCTTTAATAAACCTGTAACTGTTTAAGTTTTAACCTGACTCCTTCAGTTGCTGTAACAGAACCAAGCACAATTTAAAAGAACTTCAGCCTATGATTTATAAGCGTCTTTAATAAACCTGTAACTGTTTAAGTTTTAACCTGACTCCTTCAGTTGCTGTAACAGAACCAAGCACAATTTAAAAAAACTTCAGCTGGTCATAAGGGACAGGTATAGGAAGAGCTTGGGCGTTTTGGATCGTGTCACTCCCAGGTGACAGATCCATTGGGGCATCTCTCAGTCTTTCCTAGACTGCCCACTGCGAAGGGATCCTGTATCCTAGCAGCTGAAATCTGAGATGTAATAAGCTCTTCCTATAAACTCTGGGGCGTCTGTCAGCCTATTGGCTGCCCTCCGCGATGGGACCCCGGTCCTAGTGGTAAAGTCACGGACGTTAAACCTTTTCTCGGTAACACACACAGACACACACACACACCCACTGCCCTGACCGTCGGCTGACAGACCCGCATCACTCCTGGACCATGGCATCCTATTCAGAACACTGTCTTCTAGCAGTGCCCACAGTTGTTTGTCATCCTCCTTCCAGGAGAGGGGAGAGTATTTATCAGCAGTTCTGTCTTTGCATTCTGGGGTCCTCTACTCCCAGGGTACCCCCTATCTCTCTGTACCCACTTTGCCTCAGTGACCCACTGCCAGTCGTCATCTCGCCCCTCACTTCTGGGGCAAACTGCAGTCTGAAATGGCTGCTCATCATTGGCAAGATGGTGCGGACCTGCTGCCTTCTCCAGCGCTGGCTGTGACTCTGCACCCATAGAACACTGAGGCCTTACAGCAAGGGAGTAAGGTCAGGCCAGAGCTCCTCAGCTCTGCCTGCCTTTTCCCAGTCCTGCCCTATCTCAGGAAGTCTCCAGCTTCTCTGGCAGCCAGGTCCCTCCTGCTCCCCATCTAGAACAAGAGTCAGTCTGCCTTCCTCTCTCCTGGAGCCCTTATTCATACAGCCCCCTGTTGAGACCTAACTGGCAATATCAGCCTCAGATGTGGGCTTTACTCTCAGACCTCCCCCAGGCTGGATTTTAGCCTTAGCAGACACTACTATCACAACTACTTAGGAAGGAGTACTGCGGTAAGGAATGGAGAGGTCATAGTGGATCACAAACTAAATATGATTCAACAGTATAATACTGTTGCAAAAAAAGCCAACATAATTCTGTATGAACAGGACTGTCATAAGCAAGACACTAGGGCTACGTATACACTGCAGGCTTCTTGCGCAAGAACTGTTTTGTGCAAGAGTTCTTGTGCAAAAGGTCTTCCACAAGAGTGTGTCCACACTGCCATGTGCTTTTGTGCAAGAGCGTCCATGGCAGTGTGGACGCTCTCTTGCGCAAGAAAGGTCTGATGGCCATTTTAGCCATAGGGCTTTCTTGCGCAAGAAATTAATGTTGCCTGTCTACCCTGCCTTTTTGTGGAAGAGCTCTTGCGCAAGAGGGCTTATTACTCGTTGGGAGAGGAATAACTCTTCTGGAAGAAGCTCTGTTTTCTGATGCTGTACTGTAAATTTACTTGCACAAAAAGCCTGCAGTGTAGACATAGCCGAGAAGTAATTCTTCTGCTCTACTCCACACTGATTAGGCCTCCCCTGGAGTATTGTATCCAGTTCTGGGCCCCATATTTCCAGAAGGATGTGGCCAATTAAAGAAAGTCTAAAGAAGAGCAACAAAAACGATTTAAGGTCTAGAAAATATAACATACGAGGCAAGATTGAAAAAACTGGATTTGTTTAGTCTGGAAAAGAGAAGACTGAGAGGGGACACAATAACCATTTTCAAGCACCTAAAAGATTATGACAAAGAGGAAGGAGAAAAATTGTTTTCCTTTACCTCTGAGCATAGGACAAGAAGCAATAGGCTTAAATTACAGCAAGAAAGGTTTAGGTTGGACCTTAGGAAAAGTGAATGTTGACAGGAGGTGAGTGGAAGGTGCTCAGTGGATGGGAGAAAGCAGGGGCAGGAAGTGGTCGAGTGAAGTGGGGGAGGAACTTTAGGGGAGGAGCAGAGCTGGGATGGAGTATCCACCGGCAAAACCAAAGTCAGCACCTATGACCAGCTACCTTGCACTTCTTTTTTTTTTTAAATACAAGCACTCAACTTAAAAAATACTCCTTTTTTTCTAAAAGTTAGGCTACGTCTACACTGGCCTCTTCTCCGGAAGAGGCATGCTAATTTACAACATTGGAATAGGGAAATCCGCGGGGGATTTAAATATCCCCGCGGATTTAAATAAACATGGCCGCCGCTTTTTTCTGGCTTGGGGAAAAGCCGGGAAAGAGCGTCTAGACTGGCGCGATCCTCCGGAATAAAGCCCTTTTCCGGAGGATCTCTTATTCCTACTTGCAAGCGGCGGCCATGTTTATTTAAATCCCCCACGGATTTCCCTATTCCCTATTGTAAATTAGCATGCCTCTTCCGGAGAAGGGGCCAGTGTAGACGTAGCCTTAGTGTATTTCTTATGTAATATTGCTATTGTGACTGCTTTTTTTGTGCAGAATCTGTGTAAAATAAAATAATCGCTAGACTCTATTTTTGTGTTTAGCCAATTACAGGAAGTCAAAGGGAAAGGTAACTCCACAGTTACGTATAGTTCTGTTTATCTTATTAATAAGGGTTTGTGTAACAGAAAGAAAAAAATGCTGTTACAGGTGGGATCTTCCTGTTCTAGCACCCTCAGAAGAGCTTTTTGCTGATGACACCAGAGGTGAAAGTAAGTGGATGCGCCAAGGGCGCCATTTTGGTAGGATAGGGGGGATGACAGCCATGTGCTCTGGAACACAGCTTGCTTTTCATCCCATTCCTCAGACTATCAGGGAGCGAGGGGAAAGAGCCTGCATTCCGTGCATGCCTCTCACATCTGGCTGGTGAGCTCCCTTCACCAACCAGGTGTGAGAGGCATGCACAGAATGCAGGCTCTTTCCCCTCACTCCCTGATAGTCCAGGTAATGGGATGAAAGGTCAGCCATGTCCCAGAGCCCTTCCTACCCTCCCAAAATGGTGCTCTTGGGGTGCACTCGGTGTGCAGCTCTGGCAAAAGCTGGCTGAGCTGCAGGAAATGGCAGCAGGGAGCTATTTAAAGAGCTGGCAGGCACCAAGGCTGCCATAGGGCAGTACGTGTAAGACATTTAAAGTTAATTTCACCCCTGGATGATACTCCTTGTGGAGCAGGCAGCAGACGCAGCCCCTTAGTTCATTTAGTTTCTGGTTTCATGGCTGGTGGTGTTGTTGAGGTAAGCAGGATCTTAATGAGCTCTTCTCTGACAGCTACCTGGGAGAGAGCAACTGTATTTATGTAAACACATCTTACATCTCCAGGAGGTAGTGCAGTGTTGCTCAAAGTGATCAACTTTACTGAATGCAGGTTTAGTGAAATTCTGTTACCAATGTGGTTGTCTTTATTGTATGACTAAAGGGGAGCAGAACTGTAATTTCCCAGATTACTGTGTAGGGTCTTGAGCTGGTTCTGTGTTGTATAATGGAAGAGGAACTCCTAGGTATTGAACCCAGCCCTGGCTGTTGACCTAATTAAAAATTTATTAAAATTTATTAAAAGCTGTACTGTGATGGGTTGGTTTCCCCCCCGGCTCCAAAATGGATTCCACCTATTGAAGTGGTGTTTCATTGAGCCTATCCTACTCCACCAGTCTGGATTCCCTCATCCCCTTTTGCTGAATTAGACTCATCGACCTCTTGCAGCACACATACACTCAGGTAGAGCCATCTTCAGCTGCAGACACAGACTGAAGTAAGCTCTGTGTGAGAGGACTCACTTGGCACTGATGTGCAGATCCTTTTTGGGAGATAAACCCAAAATACTGTTATCCGCTGTCTACAAAGATCTGCACAGCTCATAAAAATTTGCCCTCTCCCTCAATACAGAGAATGGGAAGCAACTGTCATACATACAGAATGGGAAGCGACTGTCTGGGAAGGAGTACAGAAGAAAGGGATCTAGGGGTTTTAGTGGACCACAAGTTGAATATGAGTCAGCAGAGTGATGCTGTTGCAAAGAAAGCAAACATGATTCTGGGATGCATTAACAGGTGTGTTGTGAGCAAGACACGTGAAGTTCATTCTTCTGCTCTACTCTGCACTGGTTAGGCTTCAGTATTGTGTTCAGTTCTGGGCACCGCATTTCAAGAAAGATGTGGAGAAATTGGAGAGGGTCCAGAGAAGAGCAACAAGAATGATTAATGGTCTAGAGAACATGACCTATGAGGGAAGGCT